CAACTTCAGCGCCAGGTTTAGGAATGTCCAAGGACCTTGAAGATTCCCCATGTTTTTGTAGCAAGGAAACTACTGTGCCTTTAACCTGGGAGGCACGCGCTGCTGGAGAGCGGGTTTGGAGACGGGGCGTGGTGCGCTCTGAGAAGCAGACGGCTGGCGTGAGAAGGGAACTCTCTGGACAGAGGGAGGATGGGAGTCAGAACACATAGTCTGCTAAGGGGCACCGCAGGGAGGTGTAGAAACAGCCCGGGACGGATGTCACCTCCCCCAGTGACGACCAAAAGTCTGAGGTGAGGTGTCAGACCGAAGCCGGCGAGTCTCTCGCTCTGGCTGCGCCCTGTCCTCTCCAGCTTTACGCATGGGCTTGTCTTGTCTTCTGAGGAGGGTAAGGGAGCGCCAGCCACCTCTCCGGGGGACAGATCTCTTCCCACAGCCAAGGGGCTTTATGCTAGAGGTTCCCAAGGACAGAAGAAGCCAGCAGCCAGGGCTCTACGTTAGGGTGAAGGACCGGCTGGAATGGCCACGGCTGTCCCAGAAAGGGGCGCACAGCTTGGCTGGCTGGTAGCAAGACCTCTGAGTTAATGTATAATTGTGAGCAGATGGCGGGGGCTGGCTGCAGCCTGGGGCCTGGGCCCAACTAATGAGGGACAATTAGCCCCAAACCCGGTGGGGGTGGTTGAGAGAATCAGACAGTGAAGGCAGATATTTGCTCCTCAAACAGCCTGGGCGCTGGGCAAAGGGCTGAGTGGCTGAGGCTTTGGGCAGGCGAGGCCCCCTGCTAGGGCCCTTCCTCTTTTTTCCCTCCCCCCCATCACCTCTGGGTCAAAAGCCTCTGTTTGTTCAGACCCAAGAGTGCGTCGTAAAGGCAGGGGGGAGAGGGTAGTTTATGGGGGAAATCGCTGCCACCACCATCTGCCAGGGCTTGTCCCTTCTCCCCGACACCCCTCTCTCCACCGTCACGCAGCTGTCTGCGGGAATAGAAGGTCAAGACACGAAGCCTTGCACCCCCAGATGCAGGGGGAGGTGGGAGGCGAGATGAGCAGGAAAAAGAACTAAGAGCCGGCTACCGCATGCTTCTTTGGGACCCCCTCCTACCCACGCACGGCTGAGTGAAGGGACCAGCAGTCTCAGCCGCCCTGGGATTAAGTGGGCTCCAGGGGCACTAGGGCATGTGCTGTCCTGCTCCTAGTGCTGAAAGCACTGCTGCAGTCTCCCCGCCCCCGCCCCGGCTCTGCACCAGCCTGAGGAGGCTGGAGGAGGCCGGAGGAGGAGGGGAGTGCCTGTAGGGGTGAGGTAGAAAACCCACTTCTGTAATACCTTTGGCCTTGCTTTGAGAACAAGAGTTCCCAATTCTAGGATCAAGCTGAACACATAACACCCATGCCCACTCCCCCCAAAACCAAAGCATTTACCAATGAAATGCATTTCCCCCCACCCTGGGTCTAGTCTTATTGTCCCACTTTCATCCTGCCTTCTGGGAGGGTTTCACAGAATCCTGGCACGGACACAAAGGGCTTTCCAAATTGGCTCCTTCACAAGGGACCTGCCCAAGGCAATGGCAACAGCAGAGCTTCCATGCACTGGGGGCTATGTGTCACTGCCAGCGTCCCACTCCACGGGAACCACCAGCTACTGGTGCCCCCACCCCAATAATGATCCAGATAACCCGTGATGTCCTCTGTAGGGACAGGAGGGTCATTCACAACTTAGAGTCTGAAAGCACCAAATCCCTAGTGGAATGAAGCCTGATAACATCTAGAGATGGAAGAATGAAAACCAGGCTGCACACCTCAGAAACACCCGCCCTCATCCTAACTGCCCGCCGAGGCTCATTCCCACGGCCACCACTGTCGCCAGTGTGCTGAAGTCCAGGATCCCTCTACTTCCAAGCAAGAACTCACCTTTGGTGTCACCTCTGTTAAGGAGCCAGTTGGAGAATTGGTGAGGACACTTTGCAGAGAGAACTGGTGCTATGTGACTCATATTCGTCTACGTGTACCCTCATTCTCTCAAAGATCTAGGGGCCAAGTTGGCCAGCGTTTAGGTATCAGTCTCTCTACCCATTTATCTTTTATAATACTACACAGACGACCCAAGAGTTGACTCGAAAACCCAGGTGTGTGCGTTCTGGCCGGGAAGCTGTGTCCGTGGTTCTGGAAGTAACTTTGGGCTTTTCTGCATTCGAAGCCTGGGAGACACAGTCTGAAATTCCCCATCTCCCACATTCCCCGTTCCCTACAAGAATACGGCCCCTGAGTGGGTGCGTTCAGAGTCTGGGGACCTTCATGAGAGCGGCTCTGTACTTGCTTCACGGTGGCAGGTGGACACAAGGTGGGCTCTGAAGACTTCCCGTGGAAGGACACAGTGGGTCCCTGGTTGTGGTTTGCCCTGCCTCAGGGCTGGTGTCAGTCAGCCCCATGCACACTTCCCTCCTCCTCTCTCCTCTGCTCATGGCCTGTGACATCACTGGCTGCTCCCAGAAGGCTGCCCTCTGCTCCTGAGCACGGGCTCTCTGTAGCTCTGGACCCCCTGGCAGGACTGACGCATTTGCAGAGTGGAAGCTGTTCCCAGGACCAGACCATCACCACCCCTGGAGCCTGCAGGGGCCTCGGACGCCCACGTAGCAGACTGAGACCCTCCCACTGAAGTCCCACCTCATTGCCTCCACACAGGTAGCTCACCTGCAGGCTCATTGTCTGCTCTGCCTCCCATGCTGTCTCCATGCCTTTGTGTGGCCAAGCTAAATTCTCTCCTCCTCTGTCTTTGCAGCACCCAGCCTCCTTCTCCTGTAACCCTCCCTTCTGCCTTTTCATCTTGGGAGCACCAGTTCTTTTATCAGACAAGTTAATATAAACATTGGGATATGTGGCGTGGCTATTGGGAATGGAGTTTCTGTTTGCGAGTTGGGGCATGATGATTTTAGGTTTGGAAATGACTTAGGTTTGGATATTGAACTTGAGTACCCACAGCTCCTCTGAGCTCTGGTCACCTAGGGGGGACACAGTCCTATCAAGGATGTAGAGTTTGGCTGATATTCTGAGTTCCCTCCGCCTCACTATCCCCCGCATCCTGGCAGAGCCCTTCACACTCCCAACTTGGCTCTCCTCTCTCCATTGCTTTGGTGGCAATTGCACAAACATGAAGCAGGGGTGGGGGCAGAGAAAGGAGCTGGAAATTTCCGTTTCTGGTGAGGAAATGGCTTCTAAACCTCCTTGAGTTTAATTTCCTTGGTGGCCCCTGACTTGTGGGAACCCCAGTCTGTGCCTCAGGTTTTTTTATTTTGTTTTGGTTTGGGGGAGGGGGTAGGCAGGGGGGAAACTTCTGCCTTCCTTCCTGACTTTCAGGAAAGATGAGAACTTGAAGGGGGATGTGTCTCTGCCCAGAGCGGAGTGAGCAAAAGCCAATTTAGCTGCGGAATTTAAAAAGTAGCTCTGGATTCCATACTCCCCGCGCGTTCATTGTTGTTTACCCTGTGCTAGTTTCCTCTCCCCTGCTGCTCTGTCACCTCTGTTAAGGCAAAAACTGTGTCCTTTTCCTTTTTAGTCCCTTCATCCTGAACAACCAGCAATATGCTCGATGAATACCTTATTCAGTGAATAATTGCAGATTAGTTAACTGAACCAAGATGGCATGGTTATTACAGGAAATTTCTATGCCTAAACTATTCTCTGCAGTGACTCCCGCCCTGCCAGGGCTCCAGGCACGAAAGGAAGAGGCTTCAACTCCTGTTACTTACTGGTGAAAGCAAGAAAGACACAATGGCCCATGACCTGTGTCCCTTGCTGCTCAGACACTGTCTTGTGCTCACGATGGCTTCTAAGTTGGTCAGCAGATAGCTCTCTCCTGCTTCTCACTCCCTCCCTTCCACATGCCTTCCATAAATGTTAGTTGAGTGAGTGGGTGTCTGATCCCGGAAAGCTGGTCTCTGAGAGCGAAGCTTCATGGTGAGATCTAGAACCCTCGAGAGTCAACAGGGACCAACAATCCCAGCAGGTTAGAAACTGTCAAGAGATGAATCTTCCAGGAGAAGCTAAGACTTCAAGGCTCATTTATCTCTACTTCCAGTGTGTGGGGTCAGAGCCTCCATGCCTGGGGGTACAGCTGAGCCCCATGTTTCCCCAGAGCTTCCTGGAGAGTATAAAAAACAGAAGCAAGACTCTCCCCTGAAGTGCTCTGAAGGAGCTTTCTGGCTGGTGGTTTGGGAAAACTCACTTCGGGAGCTGCTAGACAGTGAAGGCAGAGCCTTGAACCTGGTCTCCAGCCTCAGACCAGGGCAACTGGGATGTTTGGTCACGGATGCCCTCTCCTGGCTGGGCAGAATATCCTAAGTTTTGGTTTTTGACCCTATTGAGTCTGAGCGTGGGAGGCAGAAGCCCTGGCCCAAGTGTGTCACCCAGGGGTCAGAGACAACAGTTGTCCACTTGGAAAAGGGGGAGACCTGAGCATATGGCGGCATCACCCCTTTCCACCTCCTAGACCTCTCGTAATGGACGTGCGAGAAATGAGAGCCCTCTCAGGCCCCGTCGAGACATCCAGAAAGATCTAGTCCTCTACTAGCCCTGTGAGGTTTTAGGTCATCGCTGAAGGGTTTAAATAAAGAAATTTTGAATTTTCTTGGCCAACCTACTGGTAAATTTTAGAAAGCGGACCCTTTATCTCAAAACACTGTATCACCCAAATGACCCCCAATTATTGTAGGCCCAGCCCGAAGACCAAGGAAGGCTCTCTCAGGAGGAACCCCCTCCCCAGTCTGCCCAGTTCCTGCCCTTTTGTGAGGAGGGTCAGCCTGGAGCATGCCGCAGGACGGTAGGGGGCCTGGGAGGGGTGGGAAGAACAGGGCGGCGTGCGGAGGGAGGGCTCTACCTCAGGGCTCTGCTTCCATCCATGTGGATTCATCTTCCCTTGGCCAGGGTTCTGGGGAAGCTTTGCTCTGTCACCCTCCCCCTGCTCCATGGTTCTTCCCTTAGATGATGAGGGTCAGTGCAAACGGTCACAGAGGGAAGACTCACCCGTGTGCCTGCTCCCAAAGAACATGGCATGTTTGGTTCATGTCCGGAAGCAGAAGGGGAGCAGTCCCCTCAGGGGAGGACTTTCTCTATGGTGGGAAGCCAGGTTGGAGGGGCCTGAGTAACCCTCCCCTAGGAGGGTCCTTCATGCCACAGGTGGGCCGGGGGGAGGGGCGATGCGGGGTGTGGATGCCTCCCTCTCATGCCCAGGGATCAGCAGTGTGAATCAGCTGGGGGGATTCTTTGTGAATGGTCGGCCCCTGCCCCTGGACACCCGGCAGCAGATCGTGAGGCTGGCAGTCAGCGGGATGCGGCCCTGTGACATCTCACGGAGCCTGAAGGTAGTGTGCTGGGACTTTCACCCGGTGATGGGGACAAGAAGCAGGGAGAAGGGGCTCCTCTTAAGGCAAGTATGGGGCTGTTGCAGACTCTGAGGACCTTTAGGGCTTGTTGTTTGGGGGAAAGAAGAAGACCCTCTTGGGGGCTGGAATGGGAGCTTCACGCTCCCAGTAATGAGGCTGGATCCTCAAATCTGTGGCCTGATCCAGTAGGTCTTACTTTGCCTTGTAGCCTCCTTCTGTTCCAGGGACACTCACCCTCTACCCATCATGCCATACCTGTCCCTGATTCTCACCTGACCCAGGTATCTAATGGCTGTGTGAGCAAGATCCTAGGGCGTTACTACCGCACAGGTGTCTTGGAGCCCAAGGGGATTGGGGGAAGCAAGCCACGGCTGGCCACACCCCCTGTGGTGGCCCGAATAGCCCAGCTGAAGGGTGAGTGCCCAGCCCTCTTCGCCTGGGAGATCCAACGCCAGCTCTGTGCCGAAGGGCTTTGCACTCAGGACAAGACTCCCAGTGTAAGTGCCCTCTGCTCCCGTACCAGGGCTGACACGCAGGTTGTCTGGGGAGAAGAAGGTCCCTTCTTACTTGGGTGTGGGACCATCCCAGGCTGGAGGCGGGGCCCCTGGGCTCTCTTCTGACCCATATGTTTTTCTCCTGAAAAGTAGTGGTGGTGAGACAGGTGAGAAGAAGAAAGTGTGGGGGAGAGAGAGAAAGAGAGAGAGGAGGCCGCCCTTAGAAACTACGTGTGGGTCAGCACGAGAGAAAGGACACTGGGGAAATATCCTAAGGATGCGACTCTGGGACTGGGCATCATCTCCCCACTCAACACCCCGACACTCCCAGGTCTCCTCCATCAACCGAGTCCTGCGGGCACTACAGGAGGACCAGAGACTGGCCTGGGCACAGCTCAGGTCACCAGGTGGGTCTTGGAGCTGCCCCCGCCCCCCAGGGATGATCAGAGCCAAACCTAAGATTTTACAGTTCTCAAAGCCCTTTCTTGTTCTTTCTTGGATCACCTGCATAACATGAAAATAAGGAGGGCCTTAACCAAAGTCACCAACTAATTGTTGGCAGGTCCTGGAAGAGAACCCAGGTTCCCTAGCCCCTAGGCTCACAGGATCTTCTACACCCTCCCTCTGCCTCACACACAGCTTCTCAGAGCACCCTGTGTTCTGTAGGATCTCGCTAACCTGGACCAACCTTGCTGCTGTTTTCCCCCAAACACCAAGCACGGAGCCCACAATGGCACTGAGTGTGCCTCCCCCCAAGTGCCCCTGCAACGACCTCCAAGTAACTGTGAATGCCCCGCCAGTGCAGCTCTGCTCTGATACCCATGCTGTCCCCTGTCCGCAGCCCAAGGGCCCTGGGGACACCATCTGACCAGAGGAATCACCGTCACAAACCACCACAAGCCATTGTCCCCCTTTGCAGTTATTTTGGCTCCGGTTCCTCGCAATCCCCATAGTGGCTTTGAGGCTCCCCGGGGGCCCCACCCAGGGACTGGCCATCGGAATCGGACTATCTTCTCCCCAGGCCAAGCTGAGGCGCTGGAGAAAGGTGCTGGGACTGGGGTGGACGCTGGGTCAGAGGGGCTCGGTGTGACACATGGAGGCAATGACCCTGAGGCCTGTGGGCACAGGTTGAGAGGTGGAGGCTATGGACGGCCCTGCCTCAGGGAGGAGGGTGGTTTAGGGTTGCAGCAGGTGGGCACTGGGGGCTGAGGGGGCAGTCCGTGCCTCACTCCTCCCCCCATGACCTTGCTATGAGCCTTGGTCTCCACAGAGTTCCAGCGTGGGCAGTATCCTGATTCAGTGGCCCGTGGAAAGCTGGCGGCTTCCACCTCTCTGTCTGAGGACACGGTGAGGGTGAGTAAGCTGTGCCACGCAGTACGCACAAACCACAAGGGCAGAGTCTGTGCCAGGAAGGCTCTGGGTTCTGGTGAGGTGGAGAAAGGGGCAAGAAGGGAGAAACAAATTTTTTGGAGCAGAAATAGGAGACAAGACTCTCTTTGATCCCCTTCTGCGGATTTCTCCCTTCCTGACTCCAAGCTTTTGAGTTGAAGAAGGGGCCAGAGAGCAAAGGTCAGAGATGGAAGGGAAGACATCAGGTCTGAGGAAGGGTCTGTGCTCTGAGTCCAGGCCAGGAGCAGGCGCTGAGAGCAGTAGGTGCCAGATAGTAGAGAGAACAGTCAGCTACTTCGTTTCCGCCCTCCCTCAGGTCTGGTTTTCCAACCGAAGAGCCAAATGGCGCCGACAAGAGAAGCTCAAGTGGGAAATGCAGCTTCCAGGTGATTTCTCTGCCCATCCGTCCATCCAACTACCCACCCACCCAGCCACCCATCCATCCATCCACCAAAACATTTACTCGGCGCCTCCCGTGAGCCAGTGTCGGACGCTGGGCACACACAGTCCCTGCTCTTCAAGGCTGCACTGTCCTCAGTTTAGCATCCCTGGGATTTAATCCTTCTTCCCTGGTCTCCAAAGGCTCTGCCTTGGGGAGGAGGGCAGTTTAGGGTTGTAGCATCCACCTTCTCTCACCCTTTTCCTAGAACCTCCCCACTTCTCATCACCACTCCCCACTCCCTGGATTCCAGTTACTCCCTCTGAGTGGATCCACCCTCACCTTGTAGGTGCTTCCCAGGGTCTGACTGCACCGACTGCTTCCCCAGGGATTGTCTCTGCGCAGGTATCCAGGAAGAGAGGGGAGCTTGTGAACTGGGAGGACTGAAGGGCTCACCGCTTCTCCCATCCCAGGGGAAGCCTGAGCCAGATTTCACGACTGCCCCAGCCCCCACAGTGCTCACTTCCAGAAAGTGCCATCCTCATAGTCTATTATGTGAATGGTACTCTCTGCAGTTGTACAGGATACAGCCTGGAGGATGGGCAGCCCTGGGGTCCCAGTGCTGTCAAACAGGAGGCAACACTGGCAGCTGAGGGGTCCCTCTTGCTTTTCCTAGCAATCCCCTGCCATGCCTACAGTGGCCCTGCCTGCCCTGGAATCCTTGGGTCCCTCTTGCCATCAGCTGTGCTGGGGGACAGCATCAGACGGGTGTCTGAGTGACACCCCACCCCAAGCCTGTCTCAAGCCCTGCTGGGGTAAGAACCAGGCCAGGCCTCACTCCCGTGGACTGTGGGGAGGGTCAGCTGATTCCTTGGCCCACAGGAGGGCATGAGTCTCCAGTAGAGGTCATCAGAGGAATCTTGGTTCAGCTCTCCTTCTTCTTTGCATGGCCCACAAAGCTGGGGAGACTAGTACCCCCTGAGCCCATAGTACCACTACCAGTCATAGCAGGAAAAGAGGGTGGGATGGGAATTAAGTGTATCTATCTAGGGTAGAGAACAGATGTCTATGACTCTCCCCATCAGTGACTTTGGGGGTGGGGCGGCAGCAACAAGCCCAAGCTCACACTTTCTTTGTCACTGCAGGCTACCTGTCCCCCACAGCTGAGCTCCCTGGATTCGGTACTGCTCTGTCATCTTTGCCCTTCCTTCCACTGCCCCCGCCGCCAGGCTTGGTGCCCCTTAGGCCTGGCTCTGACCTGGCTCCCCACTACTGACAGGCCTGGGATGAGGGAGGAGGGCCAGAGTGGAAAGGAGATGGAGTGGGGAGGATCTAATACCGGCCTGCCCAAGCAGGTCATTGCTCCTCGCTCCTCCCTGCCTCTCCTCCTCATCTGTGGACCTTGCCTGGCCCTACCCTGCTGCCCCTCCTACTCACCACCTGATTCTAGGGGCTGGAGAGCCATGCCTGCCCACTTCTCGCAGTGGCCTTAAAAGGCCTCCACCTGGCAGTAATAAAAACATTTTAAAATTAGCAGTAGTTCCTGTTGTCCATCACGTTTTTCCCATGAGTACTCATACTCCCACCCTTATATTTAACAATTATAAACAGTTTGCTCTATCTATTATCTATCTATCATCTATCATCTGTTAATCTATATATCTATCTTATCTATCTACATATGTATGTGTCTACCATCTATCTAATGCATTTATGTGTCTATATAACTGTATGTATGTACATATGTCTGTACCTATCTATCTACCTACCTACCTCTTTATATATGTATCTACATATCTCTATATTGGTGTTTAGGTGGTCGTATACCCACACATATGCACACATAAACACATGCACACACACTGATAGTAGATCATGGCATATCACCTCTAAGTCCTCCAGCGTGCATTTCCAAAAAAAAAGGAACTTGTCTTACATAACCATGATACCATTACCATATCTCAAATTGACAATAATTCCTTAACCTAAAAAAAGAGACGTTCATTCCTGAATTGCATATGTATTTTGGCACAGCAGCAGAATGAGAATGCTACTTTTCACATTCTGCTCGTCCCTTTATACATGCTCCTGGGGTATGTCTGCTTGCTGCTTTTTGGCCATCAGTTTCAAATTTGCTCAATTTTGTCCCCTGCAGGGAACTCTCTAGGCTACTCCTGGGAAGCCTTGGGATGTAGGAGAAAAAAGAATATGGGGAAAGTGGGTGAAAATGGGGTATTGGGAATAGAGAATGGGTTCAACCTTCTACATTCTTCTCTTTTTGAGGAGAAGGGATGGAATGATGATAGTGCAAAGTGGTGGGGGCAAGTTTATGCCCATCCCGGGCAGGTACTGATCCAGAAGTAATCCTTCAAAAGGTCTCTATCATTAAACACTCTAGAACTATGCTGTTCAATAAGTAGCTACCAACTACATGTGGTTATTGAAATGTTACAAAAATTAAATAAAATGAGTACTCCATTTCCTCACTCACACTAGCTGGATATCAAGTGCCCAAGAGCCCCATGTGACCCATGGCTGCTGTACTGGACAGTAAACATTATGGAACATTTCCATCAGCACAAGTTCTATGGGACAGCACAGCTCTAGAATGAAATTGCAAGGGTAATAGAGTACACTCCGCCCCTGCCCCACCTCTCTGATCTCAAGCTGGAGACCTTGCTGGACAGATTGCCTACGGTAATGAGCAAGGCTTTGCGGGGTGACACTGCACAGCACGGTCTGAGAATAAGCCATTCACTTCAGTGATAGGATTGACTTCAGCAATGGAAGAAGCTGTCAGCCGAGACCCCATGGCTGAGCACATTCAAGTGGAGGACAGATGGCCATTTGTGGGAAACAGGGCATGAAAGAGAAAGTACGTGTGTGTGTGTGTGTGTGTGTGTGTACGTGTGTGTGTGCAATCTAGGTTAACACACCTTTCATGTGTGTGTGGTTTTTCATGTGTGCATGCATGCCCACACATCTGAGTGTGTATACATATTGATGGAATGCTGACAAGGAGATTCTGCATTAAATGACCTCCAAGGTCCTATGTCTCTGAAGGATGTATTCCATTCCACTTCTGTGGCCTGTCCTTAATGTCCTCTGGGAAAGGAGATGCCCTGGTCTACTGTTCTTGACCTTCACTTATTGTATTAAAATTTTTACAAAACTCTTTTATATCTCTTGAGGAGAAACATACTTACAAAACCCCGAGGTCATTTTCCTCTCTCCAAATGGAATCTCTCTCTTGTTCTGATTTCAGCTTCTCTTCTCAATGAACTTAAAAACCAGGCACTCATTATGGTGTGGTGCAATTTTCCCATGGTGGGGGCCGGGCATCACTGTTGGTATTTGAGAACATTTTAGGAGATGCATGGGTGCTGTTTTAAATACTATTTAGTCAGAAATGAAAAACTGATTCCCTTTTCAACTCCTTTTCATTCCAATTGCATCAAAGAGACAGTCTTCATTTTAGTCCTAATCTTTAGCCTCTGTAACAGTTAATCTTTTTAACCGAGAGAGAAAGGGAGCCTTAAGCTCTGAGCCTTGGGCAGGGAAGGGAAAATCTAAGGAGGACTGATAACATCACTTTGTTTTCATTTTATTTATATTTATGGTCACTTTTTGTTTATGGCAAGCGATTCTGATCTTCCATTTTATGATAGTGATTAAAAATATTCCTTTCTAGGTTTTAAGCCAGCCCTGTCCATTGTTCTTGTGCATCTAGGTTAACACACCTTTGAAATGCCAGATGTAATACCCCTTGAAGACAGCAGTAATCTTGTTAATTATCCTGTAATCCAATCCCTGCCTTGGTTTCTCCAATCTTCCTTTCGTCCCCTCCTTAATGTCAAATGAGTAAAGGAAGCTGCAAAACTGTTATTCTCGGAAGCATTTGAGATCTTGCTCCCCAGCATATGTCATCAGTTTGGGCCCAAATAAACTCTTAGAAAAATTTTTCTAAATAAATGTACGTAAGAGTCTATGTCACTACAAACATTAATAGCGCAGATGGCAGGTAGATAAACATCAAAGTTATGAAGACAGTGCAAGAATGACAGTCACTTTGGAAGCTCTGTTTTGATGGAAAGAGGAGTGGACATCAGCGTCCACTCTAATTGAAGAATTGAGTCAGAGGTCCTGGCCATGCGACCTTGGGCAAACCACTCCAGCTCCCTGTAAAAGGTGGGCAGTGATGGGGAAAGTGCCTGCTGTGCCCGACGGACTGGATCAAAGGTAATGATAAGGTGGGCTGATATGAAAACTTCATGGGGCGGTGGGTTGGTGGGGAGGGGTGAGCTATATAGGCATAAGGAGTTATTACCATTATGCTGTGCCCATAAAATTATGAATCCTTAATTCTTTCTAAACCAAAAAGACATTCAGTCATATCTGGATTCTGAATCTTTCAAGGCAAGACTGACTCCTCATGATATGACTGGGAAAAGTCTAATGGTTCTGGTGGGGGTGGGGAGGATCAATGGAAGAACTGGTTACCATGTGGTCTCCCCTCTTCTGGCTAGAATGTGGAGTGGCTTAGAGCCTCAGTCTCACCCGCCCCCACCCATCATTCAGACCCTACTGTGTACTGAGTCAGATGCACACCAGGGTCTTGGGGATGGCCTTTTGTGATGTATTGCTAGAAACAGGTGTTTCGCTAAACTGGGTAGGAAAAGTTGTGTAACAGATATTCTTCTCATGGATCTTGACTCTGGAGTTCCTGTTCCGTTTAGTGTAGTAGTTTCTCCTGAAGGAATTGGATTTTGGTAGGTGATATTCCATTGGCCTGGGGAGGGAAGAGGAAATATCAGTCAGTCATTTGCTGATCTCTGGCTTTGAGGGAAAATCTTAGTAAGGTCCTGTGGGAAGAGAGAGAATAAAATGATCTGTCCCATTCTTGATGAGTGATTACACAGATATGTGAAGTTATAGGAAAAGGCAGCAGAAATTATTTTTTGAAATCAAATTAATGGTGAACAAATACCATCAGAGTTCACAGGAGACTGCAGTAAACAAGTAAAAACTTACTAAGAGTTCAAACTGGATTGAGAAAGTCTTCCGATAGAGTGAGAGTGTACTGGGTGCCAGGCTGTTTACTAGACATTTTGCAATCATCTCATGTGACACAACAAATCCTATGAGATAAATACTCCCATTTTACCCATGAAAAGCAGACTTTCAGAGGTTCATTTGCCCAAGGTCAAACAAGTTTAACGGATAAAAATCTAATTAGAACTCAGTTCTGAGTCCAGAAATGAGCTCTTAACCATGACGATGCACTGTCTACTAGGATGTCAGGCCTGGAAGGAGCCTGAGAAATTTAGTTCAGTCCAAATCCTTCATGGAAAAGATCAGAAAACGGGCCCAGTGGGGTTTCATTTTATTTTTCCCAGTTTGGCCACAGTAAAGAGTTTATATAGAATATTGGTAGAAGATGGAGGGAAGGAGTGACTATATATATTGGGGGTCTACGCCTAGGTTCATATTGTCATTTAGCCTTTACACCACTCTATAAAGAAGATGTTCCCATTTCACAGATAAAGAAACTAAGGCTTAAAAATGTTAAAGCAATTTTCCCAAGGTTACAGAGCTAGGAAGGACCAAGCCTTACCAGCTTCTGGTTCCAGGTCTGTATGATATCAAAACCAAAGCTTTTTCTACAACATCCTCATGACTTTCCAAGCCAGGAGAGAGGGGTGGATTGTGAAGGAACAGGTGTAAGAGCAGTGAGGTGCCTGCCCTGAAGAGCTTTGAACAGGCAGTGATGGCATGGAGGTAGCATTTTAGGAGAGCGGACTCAAACTCGGTGTAGAGAACAGATTAGGTGGGGATGCATCTGGCGGCAGGAAGTGCTGCTGGGGAGCCCTTGTTGCAATGCAGGCTTTTGGTGAAAGGGCTGGAACCACTTGTGGTAATTGTAATTAAAAAGGAACAAGCATTCGTGAGGTGTTTCTAAGGAAGTAGCCAACAATTTTCAGGGTTTGGTGAAGGGAACAAAAGGGGGGAAGGAGAAATGGTGCTGAGACCTTAAGCCTGAGAGTCTGGGAGGATGGTAATGCCCTAGAAGGCCAAAGGGACAGTAGGAAGAATAATCTTTGGAGGGAATGATGGGAAGGCTGATTTTGAAGGAATGGCAGGACAAAGTCAACTGTCAATCAGGAAGTTGGAAAGACATGAGGTTAGAGTTCAGGAGAAGGGCCAAGGCTGCAGATAAATATCTGGGAGCCATCAGCACCCCAGGAATCCAGGGGTAAGGATAGGAAATGCATAGGGTAGAAAGTATATCCTCAATATTACTCTTTCTGAAAAATGGGGCAAAAGTCTGCATTTTGATAGAGAGAGACAGATGCACAGGTACACCTCATCCTGTCCCTTGCAGCCTTGCTCGCACGCACATGTGTCAGTGAAGCCCAATAGTGAGAAATCTAGATTTGATTTCTCTTCTTTCCAGCTCATCTAGGATTAGAAGCCCTGAGAGGAAAGACACAGATTTGGAATAATGTCTGGAGTTGATCTAGTCGTGGGACAGAAGTCAGCGTTCTGGTCTTACATGCCTCTCCACTCACCTCCCTTGTCTTTTTGCCCCTCAGCTCCTGTTCCCCCAAGCCAGATCCTTACCCATTGTGCCTTACCTAAAATTCCCAAATACACTCTTTGGTAATGTCCTCGCTGTCTGCCAACAGGGTGCCACTTCGGTCGGATCGCATGTAGAAGCCATTGGGTGCTAGCACCGTGAGCAAGTTGCTCCCCTGAAGCTCGATACAGAAGTTGAGGGCGAACTTTCCCCAAGGGCGAAAGGTGCCAAAGGATGTTATCGACCAGAAGGATCCACCCTGTGCTGGGAGGGAAGAGCTCACTCAGGTCGGTGGGCCATTCAAGAGGGAGTCCCCCAGCAGTGCAGCCTCTCTGAAGAGGCTCCCAGGAGACACGCCACCACCCTGGATGCCCTACCCTACCTGCATTGGCAGATTCCCCATATGGAAACGCAAGAGGCTGGTTTCTGTTCTGACAACCCACTCTGGGGGCCGTGAAGTGCGGACACAAACAGAAACTTTGCTTTTCCTTTTCTGATGAACAGACCCTGAGTGGTAGGCCCTGAGGTCTGAGCTGGGGCTAAGGCTGGGCTGGACTGTGAACTGAGGGTGGGGATGATTACTCACCCTGGAAGTGGTAGATGCCCTGGCGGCAGGGCAGCAGGTGAATGCAGTCCGGCTGATCCATGTTGCAATGCATGAGGTCCTGTTCTGACGAGGTGCCCACATACCCATAACGACCTCGCAATGCAAGGAAGGGGCGGTTGGCTAATCGAATCCCAAATTCCTCATTTGGGCCTGAAAGAAATAGGAAGGAATTATCTGGATGGGATGCCTCTAGAGACTTTCCCAGATAGGAGCAGGAAGGGAGATGCTAATTGCAGAAACGAGTTGCCAATATTTTAACATGCAGTGAACACCTACGGTGTGCCAGGTCTTATGCTAGGCGCTTGTGGAATGTTTGTGAAAGCACTTAGTAATTTTAATATTTTTCCTTCGAGATGTGTGAATCTATTTAATCCTCGTGATAATCCTGTGAGGCAGGCCGGTTAGATATCAATCATCTTCATTGATAACGAAAACAATAAAACTGCAGCTCTCAGGGGTGGTTTGCCCAAGTGATGACAAAAATTCAATGACTAAAAGCAAGTATACAGATCCAAAACTTCTGACCCCAACTCCAGTGCTCATTCCAGCATGTCCCAGCTCCTTCTGAAAGCATCTCTGACTTGGAATTAGCTGGCTGGAAGGCTGTTTAGCTCACCTGGAATGGTGGCATTGGCCATTAGCAGGCCATCGGGTGCGATGCTCAAGAAGCGTCCACTAGCAGTCTGCAGCATGATCTTGCCACAATTCCAGTGCATATGGAAGAAGGTGTCACACTCCAGCCGGTGCCCATTAGCCATCACTGTCCTATGGCGCCTCTGGAGAAAACATTGGGAATGAGAAGGAAAGCAAGGAATTCAAATCTCAGCTTTCTTCCCATCATTTTTATTCCTAGACCCTCTTCCCCACATCCCACCCACTAGCCTTTTTCATTCTCCCAAGGTATGCTTTATGCTTTTTGGAAAACGTATTATGACCTCAGCTCTCCATTTCCTCAGTCTGTGCTGTATTCCAGAGCCCAGTATCAAAAAGGAACCCAGATATACCACATAGAGAAAAATAAACCTCAGCCCAAACTTTAAAATCGTTTTGAAATGGATCATAGCCATAAAAGTGAAGCTAAACTATAAAACATCTAGAAGAAAACAAAGAAGAAATTTTGTAACTTGGGAGTAGGCAATGATTTCTTGGGACAAAAAAAAGCACTAACCATTTATAAACAGAGAAATTGAATTTTATCAAAATTTAAAACTTGCTGCTCAAAAGACACAACTAAATAAATGGAAAGGCAAGCCACAGATTGGGTGAAAACATTTACAATACGTATATTTGGCAAAGAACTTGAAGACCTTAGAACATATAAAGAATTCTTACAACTCAATAAAAAGACAAACAACACAATAACAAATGGGCAAAAAATATGAACAGATAGATTCCTCACAGAGAAAACGTATAAATGGCCAATAAGCTCATGAAAAGATGCTCATATATTATTAATTATAAAGAAAATGCAATTTAAAGCCACAATAAAATGCTACTACACACCAATTAGAGTAGCTAAAATTAAAAAGACAGACAATACCAAGTGTTGATGAGGATGTGGAGCAATTAGAACTCTCGTACATGACTGGTGACAATGTAAAATGGTACAGTTGCTATAGAAATCTATTTGACATTTTCTTATACAGGTAAATGCACATTTATCACATGACCCAGTAGTTGCAATCCTAGGTATTTGCTCAAGATAATTGAAAATATAAGCCCACAAAAAGACTCATGCATGAATATTCGTAGCAACTTATTCATAATAGCCCAAATTGGAAACATTCAAGTATTCATCAACAAGTGAATGGATAAACAAATTATGCTTGTGTTTATGAGTAGTATTATGAAATAAAAAGGAATGAACTACGGATACATGCAACATGATGGATGAATTCAAATATATTATGCTGAGTGAAAGAAGCAGACCTACTGTAACATTAGGATTCCATTTATATGAAATTCTGGAGTAGGGAAATGTAATCTACAGTGATAGACTACATATTAGTGGTAGTGGGGAGAGCAAGGCTGGAAGGGAACTGACTGGAAAGGGGTAAGAGGGAATTTCTGTGGTGATAGCAATATTCTCTAACTTGTGAAATGGTTGAGGCGTGGTGGCTTAGGCATGTACATTTGTCAAAACTTATTGAATTGTCCACTTAAAACGGGTGCATTTTATTGTATGTAAATTATGCTTCGATGAAGTTGATTTTTTAAAAAAGAGGTCCTGTTGGATGAATATAGGCCCTCTGGGTGAAAATAAATGTTTATTGACAAGGACTTCTATGGTTTACCTCACCATCTGGTCATCTTCCTTGAAGAAGGAGAAAGTATGTCCAGAGAGGGAGAACCCAGAGCTTAAGAGTTGTCTTGCTCAGAAAGCCAAGGTCTTACCTGGGCTAGATAGTAGCCATTGGCTGAACGAAGCTGCAAGTTGTGGTTCTCATTGTCACTTTCAAACTGGAACAGTGACATTGGGGTTATGTGCTCAGAGGCTGCATACACCTCAACATCTGCAGAGGAAGAACATGCCATGAGAACCCTGAGTCTGGTCTTACCCGCAGTCTCAGCCCCTCCTCCAAGTTTCATGGCTGGGGTTCCCTCTGCTTTCTCTCCTCAGCCTTCATCACTTTCTGGTGAATCGTAGTATCCTAGAGAAGACCCAGGCCACTTTCCCCTAAAGCCTATGCCCCTGCTTTATCACCCTTCTCTACAGCACAGAGATTCTCTTAGGACCCCAAGATCTTCCTTAGGAACAGGTTCCAAAATCCTCGCTGATCCCAAACACATTTTTCTTTTTTCAGCAGCCAGCCCTCCCTCCTTCCATGGCTGTGTTGGACCCAGCACTTGCCGTAGACGATGGAGAGGAACTTCCGAGTCTTCGACCTGAGGCTCACCCAGGTCGGGCAGTGCTGTAGGATGAACCACTCCTCGCCCCTATGGGGATTAGAGCCCAGGGCCAGGAGCAGGCGTGGGCCCTGTGCGTACAACATGCCTCCTTCTCCATCACTCAGTGCCACGAGCCCTCCAGGCCGCACTTGCATGTGAAAAGCTGTCTGTGTTGAAGGTTGGGAGACCAGCCGGTCTATGTGGGACAAGAAGGAGTGTGTAGAGGTCTCCAGGTGGTAGCATCCATCTTGGTAATGCAACAAGAAGCCACATTCCTCCAGGCAGGGAACTGGTGCGTCCACCCAGACTCGACCCGTGGTGGGGTCGGCCCTGGCATAGCAGCGGTTGAGGGGGCTGTAGAGGACCACATGGGCATGCAGGGCTGGCCGAGGGGTCCACATGTGGTAAGCTGAGAGGACCCGGGAGTTGCAGAACACATCCTCGCCATCAGACTCCAGATAACGACTACTGATGATGCACTGGAGGGTCCACTTGCCATTTCGGTGGAAACGGAGCAAGAAGCATCCGTGGTGGCTGGTCCTCGGCCGGCCGTAGCACAGAGTGCCATCTGCCTCACATAGAAGGTAGAGGCCCTTCAAGCTCCTTAGTCGCACCACAGCCTGTGTGTCGTGCTCGTTGCTCACCAGGACCTCCCAGGTCTGAAGCATTGGGAGGGAGAAGAGGGAATCAGTACTTCCAAGTGACTAGACAGAGCAGCCCTGCAACTGTCACCCCTGGCATCACCCCAGCACCTTCACTGAGACCAACCAACTTCCCTTCCACATTGGCCTCCTTGCTGTCGGCTCCTCCACCCTCTCATCCAACAGTTATCAAAAGATCTCAGCGCACCGCTAGCACTGGAGCCATAGGGCTTCTCAAGAGCCCAAGAGAAGTTCTACATGCCTAACTCCTCCAACTGACAGAAGGTAACCTCTCTCCCTTGACCACTTCCTTCAATGTCTAATGTCTCAAGAAATGTTGTGGTTTGTCTTCTTTCTTTCTCTCTCATTGTTGTGCCTGGATAGCACACTCGGCCAACACCTCCATCCCCAAAAGCCACCCTCCCTACATGGCAAGAGAAAAGACCTCTTACAAGCAGACCTGGGCTCCAGGGATGAGGGTGGGAGCACAACATCTGACATACAATGGTTTACTTCAGGTGCGATCAACTCTATTATAATTGGCAGGCACTTGCTACTGCCTCACTCTGTAGTACCATCCCGAAAGTGCCTATATCCCTCTTTAAAATGAGAACCAACTCTCTGCCAGGGCTCCTAGAGCACCCCATTCTCAAACTACAACCAGAACAGAAACACAGGCTTTGTGATAACTCCACTGATCCAACTACCCCTGGAAGCCCACAATTCTGCCTTCCAGCCTGGGCTTTCTATCCCTCCTCTTTATGATGACACAACCACTCTGTGCTGGTATGGAGGGTAGGAGGCAGCCAGAGCAAGACAGAGTAGCAAGGCCAGGGTCGAGGCTTTACCTCCTGGAATAGATCTAGAGGTGGGTATGGAGCAATGATGATCTGTGAGTAAGAGCTTGGGGTAGGAGGGTCTTGGTCTGGCAATGGCAGAGGCTGGGAAAGTAATTGAGAGTGCACCCCTTACCCCTACCCCCAACCCC